GTTCACATAGTTTGGGGTCATGCATTGAGAAACATGAAGAAATATAGTTGCTTTGAGAGCGAAACTTTTTTTTCTGACTTAGAAATGCCTATTACTGCAAAAGGCTGTTTTTCAGTACTAGGGGGAAAAGTGCCTATCGTCGTGAACTTCTTTTTTTTTCCCCAGCGGTTTTGCTCCAGTTCGAATTGCTTATGGAATTTTCTTGTTCAGATAGAGGTGGGCCTCGTGGTGGAGCGAATGGAAGTGCTGGTGGCTATGGTGGAGGTGCACCGAGGGATGAGCATGTTGAAGTTCGAGACACTGTCTTCATCCAAGGAATACCCGTCACGTGCGTTTTTCTTTTTTTCCCCCTATATTTTCCCAGGAGTTTTGTGATGTCCTGAGGATTTTTTGGGTTATTCTGTGGAAATTTGGCTCCAGTGAGAAGAAAAAATGTTTATAAAAACATATATTGTAGCTTAATTTTTCAGTGCAAACGAGCAATTCATCGCGGATGTGTTCAGTACACAAGGTGATATAGCACGTAATGAACGCACCGGTGAGCCACGTATCAAAATTTACACGGATCGTGAAACAAATCAACCGAAAGGCGAATGCACAATCACATTTGTTGATGCAAAAACAGCGGAACGAGTGATAAGTATTTACAATGGTAATAAATTCTGCAGTGACACTCATGGTAATCACAATAAATAATTTAATATGGATTGTCAGTTGTGGTAATGGTAAGAAATGTATACGACTTAATGGACCGGAGTCCTTCCTACCGTTGTAGCAATCTCACAAATTTTCGAACTTCCGTTCCTCATCTTTTTCGTTTTTTCTCCGGATTTTCATTTCTTACCTTTTTGATTCCTTTCCCTCTCTATTTCATCCCTCACCATAACTTTCGATTAATATTTCGACTCAAGAAGAATTCAAAAAATTTCTCCAGGCTGCTTTCCTGTAGGCAAAAAAGGGGCTGGGCAATAGTACGTTGTCAGTTGCATCGAACCGTGCGAGGTTTTTTGGGCTAGGGTATTGTTAGGGTTTTTTAAGCCAATTATTTTCTATGAGGTCTCGAAATAGCAGTAGATGGTGCTGTATAATGGGTTGATCTGACTTCCCTAACTCTATCAGTTACGACGATTTGTTCATTCGTTTCGATGGTAAATTGGTAAGGGTGCATGTCAAAGAATCAAATCTTCTTTAAGATTTGTAAGAAGTAATCCTCAACGAAAGCATTGACAAATTTTGCCACTAGGGTTTCTGTAACCAGTGCGCTAACATTACGAGTATTTTCGTTTTACATGAAAACCGAAGGCGAGAATGTTTTGTTTTTTTTGTTAACCGGTAAAATTGTATTGTTTTGCAGGACAAAGTTTCCCAGGCAGCGAGCAATGCATGACGCTTAGTTTTGCCAAATACAAATCGGAAAATACGCGTGGTGGTGGTGGACGAGGAGGTCGTGGCGGTGGCTTTGGTGGTGATCGTGGAGGACGTGGTGGATTTGACAGAGGTGGGAGAGGTTAGTGATATGTGGGGCCTGTTTTTGGAGATAAGGGGGAGGGAGGCTGGGGGGAAAACGGGGGAAAATGTGCTTGATAAGAAAAGTTGGACAAATTGAATGTTTTAAGGGGAAATTGTTCTGCTCTAGATTTCTAAATCCATTCGCATAAAATTCTATTCGTCGTGTTTTTTCATTAATTGGCTCTTGATTGCTCAGGCGGTTTCGGCGGAAGAGGACGAGATGAGGGTGGATTTGGAGGTGG